TCTAGTTTTCTCTCTTTTGCTCTTCTGATTCTCTCCCCCATCCCACTGGGGAGGGGGAGAGTGAGTGAGCGGCTGCATGGCGCTCAGTTGCCGACTGAGGTTAAACCACGACAATATTTATAGTAAATATAGACAAAATAATCCTTTAAGCACGTATGAATGTCTACACCATCCATTCTTTGTTATATGGATCACATCTGGGAGTTCAGTATGTTAGAAATGGAGAATGTTATAGAAAGAAAGAAAAATAAATTTCATTCTCCACAGCAAACATCTTGTTATTGACAATACATAATGAACAATTACTAGATTTGCTTAGCAGGAAGAGGTGTGTTTCGGTCATTGAAACTGTACTTTCAAAATCAATCAAAAAAATCTAAACCATCATTGTTTATTGTTATTCTACACCAAAAAGCAACCTATGGGATGGTGAAGAGGATTACGCTTGTTTTTTTTATCTTTTCCAAACAGATTTCACTCAATAAACTGCTTATATGTTTTTATAATCACATCATACTGGAGGCTGTTGTTCACTGTCAGGAAAATTTCTTTGCTTGAGAAGAACGAAGAGCAACTAAAAACAGGTCCACAGGGATTGCTTGAAGAGTAATAAACAACATCACAATGGATTCTAAACTCCAAGGCGGGTGAACAAAAATTTGTCTACCATTGTAGAATAAAAGGAAAATTTCTCTAAAAGGATCAACAAAGGTCTTCCTAAGCAAACTATACTCAGACAAAACCACAATGTACAGCCCTGCTATTAACTTTTGATGCAACGGCCACTTTCTAGCAAATCTGAAAGGGACACTCTCAGATCACAGTGACAACCGCACTCTGGCTAGCCCATATTGGTTCTGTTGCTTCTGCCTCACTCAAACATACACTGAACTTGGAAGGAAGGCTGTGATAAATAAGGAGGCTGAGGATACTGTGTGAGGAGGAATTCCCTGTTATGTGGGAGAACTGCAGCAACGCAGGACTGTTAAAGACAAACGGCAATAGGACTTGTGGATAATAGCTGCTAATGCAAGATGTTATATGCAATGTAGGAAGGTGAGGAGCAGGGTGAAAAGTTGGGTGAGAAAGATCGTCTGTGAGTATATTTGTAAATTTGAAGCCACGTGTAGCTTTGAAACCTGTTTAAGGAACATACTAGTATCATGTACTCACCACGACACATACTTATCCACATTTTAGGGATAACCAGAGAGTTGCAGGCCCGCTCATGTGAGCGTGCCACTATGTTTCAAAGGCACTGGTCTTGCTGGTCTACCTTTGACCAGATTCCCTTGTGAATAGCTTTAAGGTATGCCTGAAAAAATACTAAACTTCAGAGGATAGGAACTGTTCTTATACAATCAGAAGGCAGATGATTAGCTAATAAAATACATAAATATAGTATCAGGCACAGAAAGAAGCAAATAAAACACATTTCTGCAGAAGAGATTAGCATAGATGTTTCAATGGATTAGGAAGTTTCAGTGACAGAAGGTATATTTAATATATAAAATCCATATAATGAGAAGCAGTGGAAAAAATAGGGCAACTGTCATGTGTCCAAGAAATATCTTCTAAAAAAGCTGTCAAATATAAACACATCACAGACACAAAACACTCTGCAACTGTACAAGGCAAATTTAATTCAGAATTTACAATGTACCTCATCATGGATTTTATAATTACAAAAACCCCTGAACAGCTGGATCTCTCCAAATTGAAACAACACTTACCTTCTCCTGTTAAATAACTCCTGCCTAGCATTTATGATTAGTTGGACATAAAGACTGTTGTTGGTTTATTCTAGCAAAAGGACAGTTGAGAAGGAACATGACCAATGCGTATAAATAGACCCAGAGGCAAACACCTGAGAAGGGTAAGAACTAATTAAGCTCAAGGACCATGCTGGCATAAGAACAAATGGTTATAAATTGGTCATGAAGAAATTCAAGTTGGAAATGAAACAACCTGATGTTTTCAGATGAAAATTCACAAATTTGTGACCAGGATGACCTGGCTGTCTGCAATAACAAGGGCCTGAACTCAAGTGACCCAGGATGCCGCCCCCTTCCAGTCATACATGCTAAAATCACAATAAATTTTAACACTCTTGCAAAATAACTATATGTTAAATTCTGTAATAGATCTAGTCACTGAAAAAATATGATATAGGCTATAAATAAAAATAGAAAAATACCTATAATCTCAGATGTGAATGAATTTTCAAAGTTTTAAAAACTGATTTGCCTAGTTTCAAAAAAACATGGACCCTCATTCAAGCTATTAAGACTATGAAGGTTCCTTTCCAGCAACAGGTAGGGCTAAGATAAATCTGCCTAAACCCCATTACAGCAACAAACTTTGGAAGATACTTTCAATTCCTACCAATATTCATTCTTCTTGTTCCTTCCCCCCAAAAAATAAGGAGGAGAGTTAAATGCAGATATGGCATGCCTTACCACTGCAGAAAATAAATAACATTCTTATCTTTGATGTCTTCTGGAATTTGCTTTTATTCTCCCTGCCACAAAAGCTCAAGAAAATAATACAGAAGAATAACCAATGCACATATGGAATATACCAATCAATCAAAATCCTGGCCCATTCATTGGCCTTTTTCACTGACTTTGGTAAATTTTAAACCAGAACCTATTGAAAACACACACAAATTTAGCAAGTACTTTTAGAATATTCAATGTTTTGTTTCATGGGGTACTTTTTTCCTAGCTGTGAAACGAGCAAACTCTGCATTAGGAAAGTTCACAGTAGGTAAGTGAACCGCTTCATCTTTGGAATAAGGAATCGTAAAAAAGCTGTTCTATTGTCAGTTGATCCTCCATCAGATCCAAGTTCTAGTCTCAGCTTTTACTAATTCTAATTAATGTATTTTTAGTCATTAAATGCCATGGCATTTTATTTTGAGTGTCTTTTGTAATACTCATGTTCAACAGAAATGCCATTTCAATTGATCCAAACTTTTTTTGAAAATGCAGAACAAATTAACTGCGTTGTTTCACCTGAAAAATTCTTTTCCTTTCTTACCCTTCTCATCCTCTTCTTCCTTTATTGACAGTTTAAAAAAACCACAAAACACACACAATGTCCAAATAAGGATGCCCTTGCTAATCACCTTCTCTTTCTCCCAAAAATCCATTATTTAGCACATATGCAGCTCTTAAGCAGTGAACATTAAAGCAATCCTAGTCTAGGAAGCCCTGACCACATCACCACAAACATTCTCTTTCTGGACAAAAGCATACTTAAAAACTTACAAAAAAGAAAAAGGAGATACTGATCGTTGCCCATACAGTGATCTCCTGTGTTTTTTGATAGTGATACCTAAGTTTACCCTTAATTACTGCTGCTTTGCTTTATTAAAAATATTAAAGGTAAATTAATTTGGGGGACAAAAAACTTTGTTCATCAGATAGGTAGGGATTTTTTTCAGCAAACAAAAATCCTTTTCAGTTTGAACTACTTTTCACACTATTTTTCACTTCAGACTGAACCAGAAATCAATTATTTACAAGATTCTAAGCTGAAGTTATTAAAAATGTCTTTGTACGCTCAAAATTCCTCTTTCCTATCTTTCTTTCTTGAAAGGAAAATACCTATTGCAACCAAGATTTAATTGCAACAGATGGAGGGCACTCGCTAGTATAGCTTTTTTTTTTCCTCCCTTTTTTTTTTTTAATTGAAATGCTGCGGGTAGGAGAGTAAAGATTATACTATTAAATACATATATATGTATTTGCATGTATACATATATACATATATTCAGCACTATATCCCTTTTTATAGAATGGAAATTTCTAAGTAATTAAAAGGAAAAATATGGGAAGCTTTTGCAGGTGGAAAGTGAATGTCCTTACAGAAGCTCTAAGGAAATTATCATTGTGCTAATATGCTCCTATGACTTGAAAAAAAGCGAGTGGATGTGATGACTCTATAAATATACACACTATTCTTACAAAATTCAGGACACTGTATATCACTGCATTCTTATTCTGCCTCATTTAATACTCACAGACAGACTGTAAGAAGGTTCCAGTATCACTGGCATTGACATCTTCCCTTGAAGATTCAATTTTGTTAAGTAAAAAATCTTTTCTCCCACAATCCTCTCTTTTTTCATGCGACGTACGCTGTACAGTCTAAAGCGAACTGCATAATTCCCAATCATCTCAGACTCAACGTGATTAAATTTGAATGTCTCTGTGAAGACAGGGCACGGTCCCCGCTGGATGCTGGTTTTTGCTCTCTGCTTCTTTATAGGGAGAAGAACTAGGTGTACTTGCCACGAGCTTCCACCTGTCCTGCTGTACGTGGGAACGTCTGTGACAGCTGTCACTGTCACCAAAAGCTTCTGTTCCTGTGAGTCATAGTCAAAACTCACATCCAGTGTGCCATATTTAGCTACTGGCTCAGGATCAAAAGGTTTAGGAAGCTGTGAAGATGATCCTCGAGCTGACATATCCTGAAGAAGAAGAAGAAAAAAAGCTTTTTATTTATTTATTTATTTACTGTATTCTATTATTAAATCTAGCGTGGAAATATATGGCTTTCTCTACACAATATGAAGTGACTATGATCTTTTTGTTCATTTCATAAACAAGGTAATTAAACACCGAAAGCTTGAGGAGATGGCTGACTAGCAGCCAAGAAAAAATCAAAAGACTTTACCTGGCCAATACTGCCAAAAGCCAGGATCCAATCAGGCAAAGCTCAGATTACATTAGGCTGTATTTATGATCTCTTCTTCCACGCCCCACATGTTAAAATCCATACATATTTGTTGCAAGATACAACTACCTTATTCCTGTGCGAGTATACACACATCTTTAAGTTAACGTATTATAGTCCTTTAACAGCTGGGCTAGTGATTGAGGGCACGGTGAGATGCCAGCAAAGAATACAGGAATTACAACACCTACTTGCAGATGCAGCTCTTGTTGCAGTCCACAAGGGTTCTATAAACGTGCCAAAAATTATCATGGCTTTATTAACGTAATTTTACTAGAACTGTGTAAGACGCATCTGTTCTGAACACACTTTCTGAACTTTCTGTAAATGGCATCAGTCCTAAAACTGTTTTTTAAACTTAATTTTAAAATTGTTTATTGTCAATTCAAATTTTGAACAAAATACTGCCTTTTGGCAAAATAAAGCCTTTTGGATTAAAAAATGTTATGTTCTTATTTTAAACTGGTTGCTACATAGCTATGGGAATTCATTCCTCTGAAAGCTTCATTGTTCAAGTTGTTGAGTGGCTATAAAAAAAGTTGGCAGTGTTCTCACTTCTTATTGGGTACGCTTACATTAATGACTGATGTGACACAAAGCGGGAAGAACTAGGATCAGATTTGCTGCAATCTGTTAGGGTTCGAGGACCATATGTACACACACTGTCTTTACCAGCAATGAAGTTCGTACAGACTGTGGTCCTAGCTGATCATCAGGTACGGATGGACAGCTAGCTACTGGAGAACCTTGCATTCACATAGCAGGTGGGCCTTCCAGATGTTGCACCAACACCCCAGGTATGCAACATCAACTTACCAAGAGGTCTACTAAGACAGAAGCAGCTGTTGGCACATCAGGAGTGCTCCCTAATATGCACTTCAAAACTTCAGGTAGAGACAAAAGACAAATTTGAACCAAAAAGAGCCTCTTCTGCACACGACATCACTAATGTAGACTTATCCATAGATGTCAGTGCAGTAACTAGTTGTTAAAGACATTATAAGGAAATACATGTCAGAAAAGATTATTTCTTCATAGTAAAAAATAAATGGATATCATTACAGTTTATAGCAGGAAAAAAAAGGAAAATTAAAGGGAACAAATCTCTATACTACCATCAACAATTAAAAAAACCTCTTTGTAATAATTTTTTTTTTTCATAAAAGACGTTTTACATTATGGGGTGTTCAGTTTGAAAAGTGTAAACAGATTTTTATTTTTTTTTATTTGAGCTGTTTGAAAAATTATGTAGAAGAAAAAGAATTTTGACTACAGTCCTTATAGCGTGATGAAGTTTTCTGACTTGTTTAAAAAAAAATTCACTCTGACTGGGAGCTTGTTTGAAAGTTAAGATGCCATAAAGATAACTATAAAGAACAATCTGAAATCCTATTGTAATATTTTCTGACAAACTAACTTTTTTTTTATGAATGAGCTGCAATATTAGTGTTCCTATGCCTGTACATTGATCTTTAAAAAAAAAAAAAATCTCTCAAAAGGTCGCACTGCATGACACTTCAGAACACTCAACTGTTTTCATTTACCTCTGGACTAAGGACAGCTGTGCTATCACTTGGTACATCCTCTTCGTATCCTTTGTTATGAAAGCTTTCTATTTCATGTGCCGGGCTTCCCTCACTTGGGCACTTGTAGGAACATCTTGGACTGTTGCTACACTGGGAAAATTCACATTTACTGTCTCCGACTTCAGAAGGCGTACATGAAAGATGAGGAGAACCACTATCATCCTGGTATGGAGGCGGCTGCAGTTCATCTAGCGGAGGTGTTCTTCTCATCCTCTGAATGCAGTTCGCTGAGAATAAGTGAAAATTCTTTACTTACTTTCTGATTATTTACTGTTGAAACAGTTCTGTGGAAAATGGTAAGTCCAAATATCTGGACAGAGTATTTAAAATCTACAAATGTCTTTTTTTACTTTACATTTTAAATTAGATAACTAATACTACTGAAAAATATTTGTTTAAAAATGGAAACAAATGATCTCTCAGATGAAAGAGATGTGGGAAAAAGCAAAGTATTAAATATATAGTCACAATGGACTGCGTAAACCGTATATAAATAAATATAGCACAAATATGACATGACAAAAATTCTAGGCTTGAATTTCAGGGATGCTTACCTTGCAAAAACCTTTGGATATCTTAAGTCAGATTCCGTGCAGGTGGAATGCAGACCAATTAAGGAAACAAAATGCACTCCCTAAAGCCATCATATCAAACTTCTGATTACCTCCCATGCTGTTGCTCACCCAGGGAGATATTAAATTAAACTCTGAAGACAAGTAAGGTACTAATAAAGGCAGACACAAGCCCTTTCACACAAGTGAACTCTGATCAGCAGTGAATTTAACTAGGGAAGCAGTGTCTCAGATTCTTTATTACTTGTTAAGGACAACTAAAGGGTATGTACCCAGTGTCTAGAAGTTAGACACCAGGTCCAGTCACTAAAGACAGTGGAAGAAGGACCATGACCAATCTTGTGCTTGGGATGAATACTTGATGCTGACCATCTTTGCTTCTCACTTACACTAGCTAGCTAGACAGAAATGTGGTCGTACATCTCCTCAGAAAATAAACCCACGATGCATGGCTATGGATACAGAAAGTTGATTCAAAATAATGACATTTCAATTTTCGATCTCATCTTTTACTATGCAGCATTACACAGTTGACTGGAGTTGGGAAAAGACAGCAAGATGTGCAGTAGCTGAAATGAAAGGAATACTAAGGATAGGTAAAACCTGTATCACACTTTGTTTACATCTTCTGTAGAGGTTTTAATGAAGATTTCGATGCCCCTCGCACATAGAGTTAACTTACACACAAAAATTTCAAAGCAACAATGTTTTCTGGTGTCAAACATACCACTTTCACTCACAGAAAAAATCTACCCTACCAAACAAGGAAGTTAATGAAAGCATTAAACATTAGAACAAGATAAGCTTTGATTTCAGATTCATCTAAGAAAGAAACTGATCTTTCCCACATGACAAAGGTATTACATTTTAGTTTCATCATCAAATTTTGGTATACAGGATTGCCCTGCCTGTGTCCTAAATTCTCACAAAGTACATCAACCTTTTAACTGCTTCAGAGGTAATTACCAGTTGTTCAACATATCACATAAACAGAGCACACGTAAGAGTTACCCTTTATGGAACAAGGCTGAAAACACAGTAATGTGGCTCTCTTGGGAAACAAACAGTCTTTGCGAAAGGCTCCCTTTTGTTCTCCTCTCCTTTGGAAGTCTGAGCTGTATCTGACTGCGGCATGCAGGAACATTTCACAGCTTCTGGCATTTGATGTAAGCCCAAACCACCATGGTTTCGGTGCACACCGTCCATGGGAAGCAAACCCAGACACTTTGGCTAGAAGGGAGCCCATATGCATTGCAGATCCCCAAAGCTGGGCAACTGAGGGACAGGGATAGGACAGCTCATTACGGAGCATACCTACTGCACAGATAGGCAGAAGCCTCAAAGATAATTGGGGAATGCAGGGCTCTTCCCTCTTTCACTGGGCTCCTAATGGAACTCCTCTTAGCTTTCACTAAGGCAAATGAGTAATTAAAACAACACCAAGCACTCCTACCAGATGATACCACTGCCAGGAATCCTCTCTTCTCTGGTAAACCCGTAAGAGCCAGTCTACCATTCAGAGTGATTCCAAGTTACTCTTACAGCACTCACGCAAAAGGTCTTCTGCTGTTAGCAAGCCCAGTGCCACTAACTCTTGAAACTCCAGTGCCACAGGGCTGGAAAGGAAAATAGAGCAGGCAGGGAATCCTATGCTCAAAACGTAGTCATACACATAAAACCTTATATATGAAACAGAGTTAAGTGGGACAGTCAGAATGTTGAAATCGACATGCAGGAACAGTGAGAAAGATTTATTTGCAAAACATGAAGAGATCTGGGAAAGCTTTTTTTTTTTTTTTATATTAGATAACTTGTGCCCTTGAAACTAGATAGACATAATTTTAGAATCTAAACTGATATTTTAATCATAATAAAATAATAGTAAGTATCCTTTAACTCTCTATACCATGAAAACAGGACTTCCTTTTCGTAATTTATATAATTAAATACTCTAGCAAATTTACAGCATCAACATTTCTGCTCATTGTTGCTAAAAGGCAACAAACAGCATTAAATGAGACAGTAACCACCATGTAGCTATGACTTAATTTCTTTCTTTTCACTTGTAGTCTAGTCTGCAAAGATTTTTTAACTCCCAGCTTTTCCACAAGCTAAACTATCAACACCATTATTGTCTTACATGAGTAAATAAATGACTGTGTGACTCACTTTTTTCACTTTGATGAACTCCATTATATGTCCCTATGGGAAAACTGCACAGGCTGTGTGACAGAAAAGGTACTTTTAATGTAGGCAGGGAAGAAGTGAAGAAGTGAAGAAAAGAAAATTCTTATTAACCAGCTGTGATTCAAAAATCTCAGAAAAAGCTGAAACACTGGGGCAGGTTTTAACTACTTATTTCTGAAAGTTTACTTTAATAAACAGAAATAACATGTAAATTCTTAAAACAAATATTCGGGTTTTACCAAACAAATAACATGTAAATTCTTAAAACAAATATTCGGGTTTAAAAATCTAAGGACACCTCTGTCTAAACAGGCATAAATGGTTTATGAACAAAAGGTTTCTCTACATAAAAAGATATCAAAGTTTTCAAATGAATTTTTAAAGTGAAAATGTCTCATTTTAAACTAATTTCCCGCTCCCCGCAGTAAATGATGCAATGAAGTGATGATTTCATGTTACAGCTCTCTGAAAATACTGCAAATTTGAATTACATGAAGACCTTCTAATGACTGACGATATCAGAGACAAATGATATCACAGACAGAAGTGAACACAGCAACACTGACTATCTGATACTGGGTATTTTCCTTAAAAATTACACAGAAGTAACAACAAACTTCAACAATCAGTCAACAGCATTTTGCATATGTATCAAAGCTTAAAATAAAAAAAACCACTGCTAATGCATGCTGGCCTATCACTGATTGTATTGGAAAAAAACATTTGGAGCTGAAAGGAAAGCATGTTCTGAAGTGTTTGCATATTTACATATAGAACCACTGTCTATAACATACCTTGTACCTTTCATTTAAGGTGTAAACTTAGACACTGTCACACTTGTGCATGCTTGTATACTGTGACAAAGCCAAAGAATACCTTCCGAAGACCACTGAATGTGGCTAATAACATCTGCTAAAGAGTTACTCTTAACAAGCAAATGGTTACAGTGAAAATTTAAAATGAGCTGTTGCATCGTTTCTACGCAAATTTCCCAAGAAACTTTCTGCTCTCAAACCAGACAGACAATAAATTTTGCCAATTCCCCCAATGAAACTAACCATATTAAATTACCATACCATTTTGGACAAGACAGGGCGAAAAACAAGCCAACATATATCTCAAACCTGGAAGAAAGGAATAGTCACAGAGAAACCAAATCGAGTTTAGCCTGAGGTTCCTACCAGACAGAAAATGCCAGAACAGAGGAAAGACAAAAAGAAAGTTGTAACAGGATGAAGATCCCACATCCAGTTTTCCAGCCGATATATATGTGAAATAACTTTGCATTCTCTAACGTGAGTGAAACTAAGTTGTTTAGTAATAAATACTTAGTAAACTCTAAATTGAGAATACAGTGTATTGCTGTGAATAGGCAGATTTGAATGATCAATCTTTTAAGGGTTAACTGCTTTAATTAAAATTTTCATCCGTCTTTACTGGGCTGGGAAAACACTCATATAGCGGTAACAGTAAAGTCCTTGCTCAACAGCTGAAGAAACCAGAACTATAAGCAAACTACCTGACAAACACAAGCAGATTAGCATTTTGCTGGTAGACTCAAATTACAGCATGTAAACTGTCATTAGCACATTTAAGTCAGAAGTAAATAAATACCTTCTTTTTAGTACTTTGTTAAACAATGAAGGTTAGTCTGTTTTCGTAAGTCCCTGTACAGGGGACTGACTGAAAGCCAAGGGGCGATGACACATATTCTTGCCGTCAATCTCAAGGGACTGTCAGTAAAACCTGACGCAGCAACCACGGCCAAAATGAGTATTCCGGGAACAGACAATTGAAACTATGAGAAAATACACAAACTTTTTCAGCCATTTTTCCAAGTGGAATCACAGTTTAAAGATACATTAACTTACTATAAGAAATGTTTTTTCTTTAGGTTTTCAGTTACTATTTGAACTTTCTGCTCCCAATGCTCCTCATTTCTCCTCTCTGTCCTGGTCCCTTGTGGACCACGCTAGGCTGCACAGCATTTCACCATGACGCTGGTGATGTTCCTTTCCATGTTTATAACGTTCAGACTTTGCTATCTTAATTAATTTTCCCAAAGGTTGCCAACAGCAGCACAAACCTAGCTTTCTTTAGCCCGTATTTCCTGAGTAATTCCAAGAACATGCATCTCTTAACATATGGAAAAAGAAACTATCCTTGTGGTTTTAATTCCCCTGTCTCATAAGCAGTAATTAACTACACTTTTGCAACTTGGAGTTTCTCATATATATTACTTCTTTAAATATTCATATTATTGTGGGAGGCAGCATTACCGCAAAACTTCTTTGGGAATCTGTTTCCAGGTCCTTTAAAACAAATAATCACTACATAAATTAATAATTTTTGCAAGTCGTATTTTATAATTATCAGAATATCTTCATACTCAAACAGTACCTTTTCTTCCTCTAATATACCTCCACATACACTGTGCTTCATAATTATTTATTTTTTTAATCTAATGT